GACCCGGTTAGCCCCGGACGAGCATTTGAGCTCTCTGCAAAGTACCCATAGAGCCCTCAGAACGGAGTGTATAGATCCTGGACGCTATCATGGTGACAACGGAAAGCACCCGGCATGCTCTGCATGTTTGGCAACTTCGTTTGACTGAATGCGTTGGTATTGCTACTGAGCGACAAGGGGAGCGGCATCCCAGCACTTGATGTCCGGTAGTGCCGTCCGGAATGCGTACTTGTCGGGCAGGCGCTCTTTTCCTGCTTTTCTGGCAAAAGAATCGAAGATGAGCGACACGAGTACGACGAGCACAGAGCATGCAGCGACAGTACAAGCGCCTCCGTCGGTGTGCTGGCATCGCATGAGCGCTGCGCTGCTCGAGGCGCCCCCGATGTAGAGCAAGGTCAGCAGCTTCAGCATAAAGCTGACACCTGAAAAATGAAGCGGCGCTCGCGGGCATCTCGCGGAACTGGGCAACTCGGTCTCAGGTCGCTGCCGCTTCCATGCGAGGCCAACTCCGGAAGAATGCAGAGCACCAGCAGCGCCAGGGGCACACAGGGCCCGACCAAGGCCGTGACATCGTTCGCTGTCCTGTCTGCGTCGACACACACGCCTCTGAATTCCGAACCTCTACGAGCTTCGAGAAAGGTCCTTCCGAACCAGCACTCGAGGCTCGTCGCATCGCGAAGACCTTGCGCAGTGAGCTGGAGCCACTGGACGCACTCCTGAGCCCGAGCAAGCACAAGAATGCCATGCAATCGCTGCTGACTTATGCCTTATTGCCTTATATGGTCACTCCAGATGAAATGCAACACCGGCCCTCCTCCGCCCACAAGCCGTCAGCCCGTGCCGGTGCGTCGTCGGTCTTTCCCTGGGATTCCAAGAGGGCCACCAAGAGCCCCCAAAGCTGGAACAGCTGGAGCAGCACGGGGCCCTGCGCGGCCAACAGGGGCTGCATCACCTCGAGAAGCGTCCTAAACGGCTCTCTGTTTCGGGCAAATCATACTAGACAACAGGATTCAGCTCGAGAACATCAAGGGATCATCAACGTTTTCATATACCCGTCTGCTTGGCTGGTGACGCTCCACAGGGTCGGCTCGAGCCGGGCTGTCGCGGGACGGCTGCGGCTCCTTCAGCGGCAACTGTGGCTCGTGATTCGCTCCCTCGAGACTATGTATGAGCTTTTGCTGCTTCCCTCCCTCTCTCTCTCTCCCGCTCTTCTCTCTCCCTCTCTCTCTCTCGCTGCTGCTCCCCCCTCTGTCTCTATCACTCGCTCTCCCGTGCGTGATCATGCCTTTGCATGCTGCCCACTAGCTGCCAATTCATGACTGCGGAGCTCCAGCCTTCGCCACAGGAAGATGACGGCAGCGAGCACTGCGGCAAAGACCGCGGCCCCGACGACCCAACGCAAGTACAGCCTGGCCACTGATATTTCGAGAAAGCATATTAAGCAGCACTTAGACCAAGACTGTCGGTTCAGAAACAGCTCTCGTCCGGGAGGCCAGCGCTTGCGGGCATCGGAGGCCACTTCGCAGGGAACGCAGACGCCGGCACGGCTGCGGTAGCCCCAGGAACATGCCACGCAGAGCGGGCCCTCGTGGCCTCGGAGGAAGCTATACATACTGCGCATCCAAGCAGTCTCTCGTTTTTCCTGGACAGCTCGGAAGTTTCTAGGTTTCGCCCGGTGGCCGGCGGCGCAGCCCAGCGCCGCTCCGGGCCCGGTGCCGTTCGCTGACGAAGCGTTGCAGCGCTCCTCCGCCGTAGGCTCCAAGCACCTGTGGAAACTCAGGGGTCAAGAAGCTGGGAGCGTCTCACACGCGGAGCTGCTTAAAAAGCCTTGCGGCCTGTAAGCACGCTGAGCTCCGGCTTCCAGGCGAGCGTAGCCGACCTTCGAAGAATTGATAAAAAAAGAATCCACTCCTGCACGCAATCCGCACACATCGCGACGGAGATCTCAGTACCAGGCCTGCGGTGACGCGGAGCTTGCATCGAAGCCGTGCTGCCACCGGCAGTCCTCTCGAGACTTGCGGCCAAGGGCTTCTCGAGCTCCGAGTGGGAAAGCACAGGTGTGTCTGGGCGTGCACATGCCACAGGTGGAGGAATGCAGGAACCCTTCTCTTGTGAGTGTCGTGTATCTAATTTCGTTTACCAGGTCGCTCGAACGCACGGGTCGGAATACCCTGCTGGCATCGCAAAGACTGGCTCCTATAGAACTGTAGAACCCATGCAAGTTTTTTTAGCTCAAAAAGCAAAACCCGTTGCCCTAACGAATTTGGCTTCAAGGGCTTAGAATCGGATGAGAAAGACAGACCGATAGATCCGTTTATCTTACAGAATGGGAGAATGTTAAATCTTGTCAAGAATCCTTAGTGCATGCTGTCAGTCGCATGACGTTCTCCGTTAGACGTTGTTTACGTTAGTTGGACAGGCTTTTGTTTCACGGGGTTGTGTCTTATATGGGATACTTTCCTTTCTCTCAGACCAAGCTTTCTGCTCGACAAGCGTTCTGCAAAGAGACTAAACTAGACGATGGCGGTTTGCAGTGAGGACAGGCACTGGTGGGAAACAAACACCGATAGCCCTGCGGTCCAAGTTCAGCTTTCCGCAGTCTTCGCACACGTCACCCGTACCCGGACTTGCAGTCTGGGCATCCTCTGACCTCGCAGGTTCTCGCTTCTCTCTTTGGGTCTTCCAGGGTTCGGGGTTAGGGTGCTTGCGCTGATGCAGTTGAAGCTCGAGATTCACTGCAACAGTCTACAACGTGCACCCTTCCTTCTTTTCCTGGCCAAGAATCTGGTAGAGCGCCGTCGATGCATCGCACTTGCAGGCGTGTCCAGGCTCCGATTTGTACATCCTGCGCCAAAGGGAATACTGGTCGAGACGAGAGCGCCCGTCTCCAAAAATCTAAAGGTCGGAAGGCAGGTTCATGTCAGTGTCACATGATGTCGCATGTTGCAACCCTCAAAGGCAAGAGCTTCCTGCCGACCATGCAGAAGCAGCTGAAGACGGAGGTGGCCCCTGCTCCCGCCGTGCTGTTGCTGGGGCACGGCACGCAACTGCTGTTGAAGTGCTGGTTGTAGGTGTTCGGCTTGCACTTGTGGCACAAAGCGCCATTCCCTTGGAAACCTGCGCTGCAGGCACAGAGCCCGTCTGGCCAAAAGGAGGCCGGAGACACCCGCAGGGACGTGGAGGTGATGCCGTAACAGTCGAAGCCTTGCAGGCGATCGCTTTGCGTCAGCTGCTTGGTTCTGTGCAGAACCTCTTCATGAAACAGAGCGGCGACGACATCCGTGTTGGAGATCTTGGTCGACGTGAGGTCCACTTGCACGTTGCGGTGCAAAGCTGGGCGCAACGCTTTCACGTCAAGGGATGTCTCCGAGTTGTTCGCCAAAGAGAGGTAGACGTTGGCGGGGATGCCTGCGATGCGATGGATCTTGTTGTGCGCCAACTCCAAGCCTTGCAAGGATTTCTGCAAGGGTAGCGTGCAATGGTGACTATAGCGCTCGCCGTCCAGGGAGACGTCTCGCAAGCAGCTCTTCTGTAGATGCCCGGAGAGGTTCGCCCCGCTGGCGCGGATGGAGGCCAAGTGTCCTGCGAAGGACAGGGGCTCCAGCAGGTTCTGTATTTCTCCATCCAGCGGACAAAGTGACACCTTGGATGCAAGAAACGTCAACGCACGTTCTTTTTAAGACACCTTCAGCTCTCAGTCGTCTGACAGCATCCGCTCGGAGCTTGACTGGAGTGCAACCACGCGGCGTCCAAGTTCACTAGGGCCGGAAGCAGCTGCCGACTCTTCTTGGTGAAGAATGTCGCTCGGAGGTCTTCCAGATCACGTCCCACGGGCAGGAAGTTCACTTGGCTGCCCTCGGCTTCGTCGGGACGAGCCGCAGCAGAAACCGGGTGCACGGGCCTTGCTCTGAGGGCCGGTCCTTGAGGCGGAGCGTGTGGAGCTGCAGGAGCTGGCCCCGCCAGGCGGGCGTCAGGCGCCCAAACACGCGCGTGCCGCTCAGATCGGCCTCCGACATGCGAAAAAATGCGAAATGTGGGGCCGGGGATGATCTGACAGTGCTCCAGGGGCCTGCTTTAGGTTTGTCAAGTGAAGGAGCTCTCCGAGATCCCCCTGCACCACGGTGTTCTGGAGACAAAGGTCCTCCAACTTCGTCAGCTTGAAGAGCGGTTGAAGGTCACCGGCCACCTCTGTACCGTCCAGCCACAACTGCTGCAGCTCGCTCATCTCCGCCAAGGCCTGCAGGCCTCCAGTCACAGCAGTATTCGAGAGCAATAGCTGCTCCAACTTCGTCAGCTTGAAGAGCGGTTGAAGGTCACCGGCCACCTGTGTACCATGCAGCCACAACTTCCGCAGCTCGCTCATCTCCGCCAAGGCCTGCAGGCCTCCAGTCAGACCGGTGTTCTTGAGCAAGAGCTCTTCCAACTTCGTGAGCTTGAAGAGCGGTTGAAGGTCACCGGAAACCTTGGTATCCTCCAGCCACAACTTCCGCAGATCGGTCATCTCCGCCAAGGCCTGCAGGCCTCCGCTTACTCCGGTGTCTGAGAGTTTTAGATCCTCCAACTTCGTCAGCTTGAAGAGCGGTTGTAGGTCACCGGCCACCTTGGTACTACCATGCAGCCACAACTTCTGCAGCTCGCTCATGTCGCTCAAGGCCTGCAGGCCTCCAGTCACACCGGTGTTCTCGAGCAAGAGATGCTTCAACTTCGTCAGCTTGAAGAGCGGTTGCAGGTCACCGGCCACCTGTGTACCATCTAGCCACAACTTCTGCAGATCGGTCATCTCCGCCAAGGCCTGCAGGCTTCCAGTGATGCCGGTGTCGGAGAGGTAGAGATACTGTAGGGTGGTGAGATTGCTGAGCGCGTCCAATCTGCCGCTGATGGGCCTCCCACGCAGATCCAGCACCAACACACAACCGTCTCTTCGAATGAAGACTCCTCGCCAGGTACGGGGCCGTCCCTTGAGCTCTTCAGCCGCAACTCCGAGAGACCGCAAAATGCCGCGGAGCGCCGCCGGGGACGGACCTTGCCAGGGGCCGTGCAACAGGGAGGGGAGCAACGGCCAAGCACAGAGCCCTTCACAGTCCAATGGTGGCCCCAACAAATTCGTCAACCGAGCATCAATCTCTGGATCCTTCTTGTGTTCGGCCCCAAAACTGCTGCTCATGGCTGTCCTCCTGTGTTTCCGTCACATGCACGCATAGGTTCACAAGGCTCTCGAAGTACACGATACTCTAAAGCACTGTGAGTCCGAAGGGGGGGAGACCCTATAGGCCTCGAGCGCTAGCGATCGGACAGCGCCATCATTCCGGAGGGCCTCGGCTCGAGGCCCAAACTGAGCTCTTCTTCCGGAACCTCAATTAAGCATGACATCTCGGGATATCCCGAATACATCTGGAGCCCTCCGTCTATATGCTTTCAGCCTCAAGTCTGAGAAATTAAACGGAGAGACGAGGCGCCGCACCGGAGTTCACGAGCACAGCCAGCGCAAGCCACGGGGCAAGCATGGAAGCAACGGGCTCTTCCCACTTCAACCCCACAGTACTTACGCAGCACCAGTACATCGCTAGACACCCGATGCATCAAAATGTGAGGGCCCCGAAAGGCCCCAAATCTCCGGAGCATTAAGTGGTCGCGTGAAGTTTCTTTGGGCCGATGCGTCTTCTCCTGGAAGCTCCGACTTTGGGAACCTCCTCGAGGCCACAGTGCCGCTTCAACAACAAGCCAACTTTGGCTTTTCCAGCTACTGGTACTTCAACCTTGACAAGACTTGGGCCTCCCCTTTTTTTGCAAATGCAGCGCCACCGCCTTCACTCATCTTCAGCTGGTCAGGTTCGTCGTCTCAGGCGGCTTCAGGGGCAAGCTCCAAACAGTCCAGTGCAACTGTTTTGGGCATGGTGTGGATTTCTGCTCTGAGTTTTATTAATTATTGTGTGGTCTGGCTCAAGTGGTTGTGCCACCCAAACGGCCAAACGAGCTAACACAGGTTCACAACTGCACAGCAAAACATCTCTGGTGAGGTCCGCCTTATCAGCTCATGACATGTTGGCCTGGCGACAGAAGTTTAGAAGCGTGAAGGCGCCACATCGCATCACCTGCTCTCAGTCCCGGCAGTCTGCAGGGACGGGTTGTGAAGAGAAGGCTCGAGCTGAAAGGAAGCCACGGAAGCCGGCTGCGCCCGGCAAGCAGAGCCACATGTCCGATCTGCTCGTACCGAAGCTTTCGCGGCCCGCAACCCGAAGCTAAAATTGAACTCTCGGCCTGAGCATGTCTTGGATGAGGGACATGCAAAACGGGCCCATCTTCTGCAACCTCACCCGAGTCCCAGTCTCACTGTTAATTGTGGTAAGGATTGGCTTTTTGGCCTCCCACCTAGCTAGGACACTAGCCGACTTCCGTCCCTCCCCTCCCCTCGGTTTTTGCTGCGCTGGTCATCGCTGGGCAGCGTCGAAGCAACCGGATTTCTGCATCGTGCTTGCTGACAGATGCCGTTGACGAAACTGTGGGAAGAGTTGAAGAGATCCAGTACACGAACCCCTATACACCACACAGACCCTACATCGGTTGTGGCCATAAACACCTGCAGCCGATTCACAGACGAGGGCGAGCCTAAAATCAGCCTCCAACCCTTTGGTGAAGCTCTTTGGCTGCGGGAAAGGTTGGCTGCGAAGTGCAGCCTTGAATCAGTCTGTGCCAACAGAGCGCAACCTACCCCTCAAGTAACGAATATATGCTTTTAAGCCTATTGACTGAGCCTGCTGTCTAAGACCTATATTAGCAGGCTATCGAGATCTCTGGGCAAACCCCTCGACCGTGCCTGCTGCCATCATGCACGCCGACAAGGCTCCAACGGCCAGCGCGCTCGCCCGGAGAGAGGCTTCCTGCATTGGGAGGCTCTGGTCTTGGATTCTGTCTGACTCTGATACCCCATTACTGGAGGGACAAAGATCTAGTATCCCCAGAATACCCGCCCAAACTATACGCCCGACGATAATCCTAAGGAGCCCTAAAATATGCACTCACCAGAGCCCCAAAATACACCTCAAGCAAAGAGCGAACCGGCAGTTGCATCACTGAGTGAACCCCGACTGTCCAAGTACTTCACCTGTCATACACTCCAAGGTTCATAGACTGACCTACAGTTCGCACCATCCTAAATCCGGCTACCTACAAATGCTTTCGGACCTCAATCGGGCAGACTTTGAGGCTAGTAGAGTTGTTTTTGGCCCTGATAACACTCACAGGGACTCCTTACCCTGCAACCCTAAAGACCTTGTTCCGTAGAGCCCTACACCCTAACATCTTAATGTGCTAATTACAGCACTAAAACTCTCTGAACCCCAACCCCTATATACCATAAACTCCTTGCACTCCTGTATTTTGAGGAGGGCTGCATTGCACATACCCTAAAATCCTCTAAACACTAAAAACACCTAAAACCCTAAACACCAAGTCTACTCCGAGGCAGAGGACCGAGCTCC